ATCAGCCTTAAATTGATCAGGATGGGGAATTTAAACCCATTCGACCACACATAAAGATAACCTGACAATAAAATGTACTTGCACAGTAGTTTCTATACTAAGTAGTATTATCTTTAATCCGACAGATTAAACGGGTGAGTGGAATGATCTATGATTCAGTGTCTAACAATGTGTAAAGTTGTAGCTTATATACACATGCCATATCACTTAGACAACAACTTTGCTATCACAAAATATGGCTCTTGGCTATATCTTCCCCTAAGTATATACATTGTTACGGTATGCCTAAATATGCTTGATACTGATTTACAGCTTCTGAAGTGGTTTATGGTGTTGTAAATCTCTCCAGACCGCTTTCATATTATTTTGTGTAAATTTCACAAACAAGTAATAAATACTTCTAAAATGAATCACGTTATTCATATTTTCAAATATTTTAAAGACAAGCAGACTTATCTTTTATATGTTGTTGTTATAATCAAATAAATATTAATATCATATTTGTCACTTAAATTTACTGACTAAAATTGTAAGGTGTTTTAGCGAATTTCCCATATAGGGAATAAGCTATTACCGTAGTACTCATGGTAAGACCTGGACCCGGGACCGATTTTATTTTTCATTTTGAGGTCCCTAAAGGTCAAAAACACCATATGTTCAAACTCATATATATATATATATATATATTATATATATATTGTATATATATTATATATAATATTATTATATAATTAATATATAATTATTATATATATATATGTGTGTCCGTTAGCGCGATAACTCGAGCAAAAATCCGATTTTGATGAAATTTGGTACAAACGTGTAAAGCTACGTTTATTTGAACGAGTTCGCGATCCAGCATAATTGGACCATGGGAACGGGGGTTTATGGGGGTTTTATGGGGTAAAAATGGGGTTTTCCCATTTTTACCCTAAAAACAAAACATTTTGCAATTTCTTTTTAAACCGTTTTGTAGAGCTTAAAAAAAGAAATAATTTAGTATATTGAAGCACTTTTGTATGCCTAACGGTCATGAAAAAAATTCAAAAAAGTGCAATTTAAAATTCCCATGTTATTCTTATGGAGAAAATGAAAATTCTTTGTAGTTTACTTGTTTATGTATATATATTGATAAAATTTGGCAAATTTATTTATTTCATCTTATACTATTGACGTATGGTCAAAAAACACTTTTTACCTTCCCGTAGCAGCAAACCTAAGCACTTGTTAAATCTAATGTTATTTAAATAGGGAATAAATATGTCTTATTAATGGAAATATTTTAGTAAAAATGTGATCATACAAGTTGAAATTCGCTTAGTCTGCAGGTTTGCTGCGGCGGGGGTATTTAAGTTCATTATTGTTTTTTAAAACAATTTTGTATACTTTTGTGTATTTCTGCCCAATGTGTTAAATTATTATACTAGTGTGATAGAAATAACTTTTATTTTTTACACACTTGTAAATTAATTATGACAAACGGTAACCAATCATCAACCACGTCCCCTAATTAATAGCTAAATGTAATTAGGTGCATATACAAATAATTAATATTTTTTTAATATTTAATTTTCAAAAAGAAAACAAAATCAGATGTTGTTTAGTTTGTACTTTTAGGGTATTGTTTTTGTTTTATGAAATTTATTTTTGGTATTAGTGATGAGTAGTGAATATTTATATATTACTAGCTGGCCCGACAGACGTCATCCTGTCCTATGTGGTTTTATGTCAAATGCTCGTTCATTTTCAAGATGAGCTCGTTCGCATGGCTCAATCACGTCCTGGTCGAAGGAGCTTGTTCGCTGCGCTCACTTGCCCTCAGGTTAGCTCGTTCGCTACGCTAACTCGCCTCCAGGTTGAAGTTTGTTCGCTACGCTCACTCACCTTTTGGTTGAAAATTAGCAATTGTCATAAATAAAAAAGAATAATAGTGCTGCACCCTGTTGGTAAACCTATTAACTTTTTAATGCTATTGAACATCACAGAATCAAATTGTTTAGTTAAACCAGCTGTTAATGTTAATGATTCTTTAATTCCATTTAAATATGAGTACTCATAAGGTTTACATGGGAAACTCCAGAGCCACTGGGGCGGAGCCCTTTTTACAGATCTGCACCAAACTTCACACAAACCATCCTTGAATAATGCTTAAGAATGCCTGAAAGTTTAATTACAATCTGTTGAGCGGTTCCGGAGTCCATAAAGGACAAACAAACAAACATACATACATACATACAAACAAACATACATTGGATTTTATATATATAGATGTTTCAAATAGTGTACATGTTGCTCAAATTCGAGCAATTGCAAAGTATTACAGGAGTTATTTCAAAAGAATAACGGTCATATTTACAATGAGTTTAAAAGAGTCAACTCAAAGATTACCAGTGTGTAACTCAGACCATGTTTATCTTCGTTATTGACAAACCTAAAGCATTCCGGCCGGTTTTCTCCTTCTCAAAATGCCTCGCTGTACAGGCAACACAGGTCATTGATAGAGGACCAATTGAGAACGAAAAGTCGTTTTGGGTAGTGTTAGGCCATATTTGTAACCTAATAGTTGAGATTGTCCAGGGTCAGGTGCTGACTGTGATGAGTTAAGCCTATTCCGTACTGTTCTGTATCTGCGGTCGTTATCATAACTACTATTGTTGTTGTCGCGTCGGAGGCATTTAAAAGAAAAAAACAACAAATAAACAAATTATAGCTACACAAAACAACGATAAATGCACTAATTTAAGTTACAATCATGCTTACACGGTCCGTCATAGCGACACAAAACAACGATAAATACACAAATTTGAGATACAACCATACTATCACGATCCGTCTTGGGGGTTATGTTTACACAAACTCAAATAGTAAATAAATGTACTCAATGCGTTTCGTTGAATTGAAAAATAAATAACAGCAATTAAATTATACAGCTGATCAAAATGTAAACAATTATGTTCTTCATAAGGATAACATGGGAAATTTCAAAGCCACTAGGGCAGAGCCCAAGGGACTTTTTCAAAAATGTAAGGCCAGTTTGCAAATCTACGCGACACGCTCATTCCAATGAGACGTCAATGGATAAAATCAGTTGAGAAATGACGGAGGAGTTCAACCGACAAAGTTTCATGTAGCGTATTAATTATATAGATACACTCAAGGACAGATCCACATGTGTAAATTAGCTTCCAGGACTTAAAAAATAAGAAAAATATACCAAACCTTCTGGACTAAATAGGTTTGGTCCTGTCCTTGAAAAGAAAATTGGGTAGGCTAGTCAATATCTTTTGCGTGTTTGGGGTTTTTACCACTTTTTGATATTTTTTATCTTAGCATTTTCAATGCAAGTCATTCAGTCACTAAGTTGATTTGCTCAATAAAGATTCTGATTTCTAAAAAATACCCCCGCTGCAGCAATCCTGCCGACTAAGCGAATTTCCATTTGCCTGCGTTGATTTTCAATTAATCTATTAAATTAACATTTATGTTTAACGAGTACCTAGGTTAGCTGCTACAAGGAAACTAATAAAGTGTGTTTTTTATTAAAATATCAATAGCTTAGTATAAAATAAATAAATCTGCCAAGTTTGATCAAAATATATCCATAAACAAGCAAACGACAACATTTTACAATATTCTCCATAAGAATAACATGGAAATTTAAAATTAACAATTTTTTGAATTTTCTCCGTAGCCAATCACAGTACAAAAACATACTAAATTATTCGTTTTTGTAATTTTTTTTAAAAGTTCTAGAGAAAAATTGATAAACTTTTGGTTTTAGGGGTAAAAAATGAGAAAAACCCATTTTTACCCCATAAAACCCCCCGTTAAACATCGTTCCCATGGTCCGATCATGCTAGTTTGCGAACTCATTCAAGTTTATCCTGCCTTACACCTTTAAACCAAATTTTATCAAAATCGGACTAAAATTAATCAAGTTATCATCTCTACGGACACACACACATATATATACATATATAAAAATTTAAACAAATTGTGTTTTTGGCCTCTGGGGAAAATGAAAAAATAAATCGGTCCCGGGCCTAGGTCTTACCATGAGACCTACGGTAATAGCTACCCTATAGGGAAATTCGCTAATACATATGGACCTGAAAGCCACTAAGAGCTGTATATTTTCTCCATTCTCCAAGGACACTGGACAACTTTGCTGTGACATAATATTGGTTTTTTCACTTATTTTTGTAATAGTTGTTAAATAATTGAATGAAATGTTTATTGATAGATAGGTTCCAAAACACTTGTTCCACAAAATTTCCCCTCTAGTCAAACCCTGGATACATCTATTTTTGTTTAAACCAGCTTATTCCGGTGAGATGTGTTCTAGTTAAGTTAGGATTTATGACTTGCAATCTTAAACTTATTATTCTTATTTTTTTTTCATACGATAGACGATTTCAGTCCTAGAAGTACATGAATGTGTTTTATAAATCTTTCTGTTAAGTTTTAACCTCAAGTTAGTTCATTATAATAGAAAAATCTGATACCTCTAGACAGCTGACAAACAGCAATTTGTCTCAAAGTGAGCACAATGCTTGGATCAATAAGGGTGGGGCTTGCCAATATCATTACCAAACTGTGAAGATAGGTCCACAATCTGCCCTGTCTGAAAATAGGGAAAAGTAGTCTGCAAACAATACAATAACCACTGGCTACTGACAGATGCATTGTGGGCAAATCATGTCTACCTAAAACTACGCCATCCAAACACCAAGGGTCTGGTTAACTCTTCTGGATGTTTGGTTCTCAATTGTGTCACAAACACTGTAAATTAACTTTACAGCTCAGTAAAATCTTACTCAGTTTAGGTCCAAACTAAATTTTTAAACATTTATACTTTCTTCCAATCACCTAGTTAAATTTTATAGCTACCAAAGCTTAAGTATAAAACTCAGAATTGGGTAAACATAAGCATGAGGGTACATAGATCAACACACTGTTCATTGTTCATAAGTATGTAATCTATGTTGTTTTTGTTGCAGCTAACAACAGAGTTCAACGACCTGGAGAAGGACGAGGTAAACATTATATCTGGAGCCCTGGAGTTACGGAAGAAGGTTGTAGCAGATGTAATGACTAAGCTGGATGATGCCTTTATGCTGTCCTATGATGCCATCATGGATTTTGAAACTGTCTCAGAAATCATGAAATCAGGTTAATAATCTTTGGTGCAAAACTGTGTTAAGATCGCTTTTTACTTTAAAACAGAGGAAAAAGCACCATCATTGTGCAAAAAGAGTTAAGAAAAATATTTAATAGAGGTCTACTCAATGTTCTCTTTAAATGGTTGTGTTGCTGGCCTAGTGGTTAGAGCATCTGACTTTGGTATAAGAGAGACGCGGTTAATTCCTGTTATGTCCTTAAACATTTTATGGATTTGTGCTGCTTTCCCTTGAAAGCATTTGTGATAACTTTGTTTAAATGCATAATCATAATAAAAATAGACATAATAAAAAAATACTATACAATACAAGATTTGTACAAGAAATCTCCTCTCTTTATTCCTCATCTGACTTACTTGAACAAAGAGGTACAATACCATGTACCTAAAGAGGTTCAAAAGAGGTACACCATTTTTTTACTGTTGGTGTTAAAATAGCTGTTTGTTTATACCTTTTCCACATTAAAAATGAGAATTTGTTTTAGACCATTTTGTGCAATGGAGAACAAAATAAAAAAGGCTCCAACAACATTGGAAATTCATTTTTTATACTTGATTACAAATAAATTGTAAAAGTATAGAGTAATATCTATATATCTAATTCCGTACGCCCAAAATTTTACAATGAAATTGTGAGCAAACGGGAGGCCGTAGAAAGCTGGGAGAGGTCTCATTTTAAAGGTCTGGACATGAAATTTTGGGGAAAATTATTCATTTTTCTTAATCGTGCACCAAAAAGTTGCTACGGAATAAAATAATTCACATTTAAATAGCATGGGAATCTAGGTCATGTCTGCTTTGTTTACTTTAAAACATGTGGTTTAACTTTATTTAAAGCATATGGTAATATGTATCATTACTGTAATATGTGTACTATTTATAAAGCTGAAATAAACTTTTTCCCAAATTTAAGGGTCTGGATTTATTGAAGTACGATTGGTTGTGTAGGTATGTCTGAAATAAGTGTAAAGATAGACGTATTTACTGGAGTAGGCAAAGGGAACATATTTTTCATGCCAAAAATTAAACTAATATCTACAGATCCTAATATGCCGTTTAAGTTTACAAGGATTCAATGCCCATTGCAGTTTTCACTGTTATTATAAATAAAGTGCAAGGCCAAACCTTCAAAAAAGTTGGCATTTATTTGAAAAAAAAACCAGTGTTAACATACACAAATGTTAAACGATAATTCAAGGTAGGGTAACCCATGAGACTAATACATGTAATTTATACAAAATAGTTACTAGAATATACATATAGGGGCTATTGCCCCTACAAGCCACTAGTTTGTTTGTAATTTCACTGCTATAATGTTGCAGGGTTCTCCCGTATCCCTGTGTACGAAGGGTCTCGCAAGAACATCATCACAGTGTTGTACATCAAGGACCTCGCTCTTGTGGATCCTGATGACAACACTCCTCTCAAGACATTGTGCCAGTTCTATCAAAACCCATGCTACTTTGTATTTGAGGACACCACATTAGATGTGCTCTTTAAGCAGTTTAAAGAAGGTGTGTTGTTTGTTTATGTAATGACCCTTGTGCTTTTATATTTTACTGTTGCTGAATTTTTACTAACTGCAGTATACCAGTTTCACTTGGAACCAGGCAATTTTGAATAATCTTGTAGTATATAGCCAAGCGTGGATTCATTATTGGTGTTCTGTTGGTTCTTTTTTTTAATAGTAAGAAGAATTTGATAACGGGGTTGTCATAATTGTGGGAGTAATATATGTCTGTTAACGCCATAAAAATATATTAATTTTTTAATGCAATTTGACTGTATTTTCAGATCCAAACAGGGCCCAGTCCCAATTAGTTCTAGTTTCAGGACTCCAGTATAAACATTACTACATTCATAAACATTACTCTTTTGTTGTTCATGTTGTTAGTCAATTCTATAATTTTATATAATTAAAGATAATTAAAATTACCTGCTTCAATATTACATTTTTGAATTGCTCCAACCTACAAGCAATAGGTTACAGCAAAGGCCTGTATCAAAGGCTACAGGCAATTTTTGCTCTAGGCAACAGGCAACAGCACTAGTAACAATACCTTGAAATGTGATATACGAGGGTCGTCCAGTTAGTAAAGAACATTTTAGCCTGGTTAAATAGAAACAGAAGATATTAACACTATCAACCAATCAATCAATCAATTTTCTTTATTGGGATTTCTTTAAGAAATACAATAGTGTCATATACATGGATTGTAATTAGAATTTTAATCTTGCTTAACAATTTTGATCGAAGAATTCCTTTAGTGAGTAGAATGGTTGATCCATTAGCAAGTCTTTGAGTTTCCTCTTCAGGTCTTGATTTCTTAAGATCTTCAAGTGGTTGGGGAGGCTATTGAAGACCTTTCGTCCCTTGTAGGTATACTTCCTGCTGTATTGAGTTGTATGGTGAGCTGGGAGAAGGTAGGCTGTAGCTCTTCGAGTGTTGTGAGAGTTGAGAATCTTTTCCTCTTGTAAGTTCACACTGTTCAGTATAGTTAATCACTGCAAGAGTTAATCACTGCAAGGATGTATAGTGATATCACAGTCACAAGTTTTAGTGATTTATTAGCTTCCTGCAGCTTTCTGTAGGGCGGAGGTCAGCTAGGGTTCTTATAGCTTTTTGCAGTATTCTTGTAAGGTTCTGCTCTGTGGTTCCACCCCAGACCACTAATCCATATCTTATGTGGGACTCCACTAATGCATATCATGCAGTCTTAGTTGCTTCCTGTCCTTCTATCCATTTAGTTCTACGCATTACATAAATTCCAGATCCTTTTTGTTTGGACAACACTTTATTTGGGTACAAAGCCTAAATAATGCTTTGCTTATTAGCATAGCAAATTATTAACATACACATGCCCGCGGTTAGCATGTGACGTCCTATGGGCCCGAGAATAAGTTGTGCCCCCTTCATCCCTTTTAATATGAATAATCAAATAATAATATGAATAGTCATATTATGATTTAACACAACCATAAGGCTTGTTTTATTGTGTTTACTTTTCATAGTTGATTAACATGTTCGCGGCGGCATGGGAGCGATCGCTCCCATACAGAACCCTAATGCCATCCTGGTGGGTGCGATCGCTCCCATGCTGCAATGCAGTACGAAATGATTTATTTTTAAGCCAGGATTAGAGCTAGAAACTTGAAACCTCGCACAGCACTGCTCAATAGTATACTGTATTTTGTTGTGGTGGAGGTTGGTAGTAAATTTTCCCGTAAAATCCCCGTCTGGCAATCTCAAAATTCTACTTTTGTCCCGTCTTTTTCCCTCCATTTGGCAATACAATTCCAATGGGACCGGCTACGTTACAAGCAGTGCTGCTATATGTTGGTGTTTAGCGAACTACGTCGACTCTCGTTGTAAAGCAGGACATCCTCGCACGTTATTTGCTATTTGTCAGACCGAAATTGGAAAGCCAATCACACGCGGCAATTGGGTTTGTTCGATGCTGAGGGCTGCGCCGCACCTGGGATACACCCGCCATTTGACGTGCCGCCGCGAACGTGTTAATACCTGTGTTGTAAAGTAAAAACTTAAACCGTCAATCCTTATTCTATTTTTCTACGTATTACCCACTGTTATCGAGACACTTGGAATGTGGGATTAGGTTCTGTATTCTGATTAAACATCTCAGCCTTCAGAGGTTTTAGCAATATTGTCACTGCAAGTTCTTTGTCATTCCCGATATATTTTCCATCCGTAAATTCCTGCAACTTTGGAAACAGGTGAAAATCACTTGGTGCTAAATGGGCTGGAGTTAAAAAATAGATTGACCAAAGATTTTACTTCAGATGTCGAAGTTCGTGCTGAAGCATGAGACCGGGCATTGTCATGAATGAAAAAGACTTTAGCCGACAGCACTCCACTGCTCTTGTTTTAGATGGATTCTGAGTTTATTGTTTTACTTCGTGACATGAAATCAACATGGATTTATCTCAGTCCCTGTTCAAATTTTGATTTTCCTTTTTGAGTTTTGTGGGCAAATTTGTGTGATGCCAATCTATTGACTGATTCTTACTTTCTTGAGTATCACTACCTCATGTAGGAGTGATGTGAAATTTGTAGAAAAAGAATCATGTGATGTTGTCAAAACAAAATGTCGGTTTTCCTATATTTTGTTCAATATTATGCTAGTGATGGCCTCCCACTCCTATCTTCATCATGCACGTTAGTCTTTTCTTGTTTAAACATGTTACACCTCTTTCTTACTGCTGACTCACCTATCACATCTTCACTACACACAGCATTAATTTGCCTATAATTTTCAATTGGCTCAACTTTCAAAAACCGTCAAGTCAAGTCAAGTCAAGTCAAATAAATCTTTATTCAGACATACAACAATGTGTACATGAATGCGTCTTAATCTTAAACTATAACTAATACTAAAACCATTTTCCTGATCCATTTTATTTCTTTTTTACATATTTACATGTTTATTTACATATTTGAACATAGTGCAGTAAATTCTTCAAAATTATAAAACTCTCCATTAATTAAAAAATTCTTAAGCTTTTTTTTGAACTTATTTCTGTTTTCCTCATTTCTGATGCTACAAGGGAGAGAATGAAAAAATTTAACCCCAATATAATCAGGACTTTCTTTAAATTTTTCTTTTTTATGCTTTTTAATTATAAAATTTTGTTTGTGCCTAGTATTGTTAGTATGTACATCCTGCTGTCTTTGCAGTTGTGACTCCCGGCTTTTAACATATAATATAGTCTTATATATGTAGAGGCTGTAAACTGTAAAGAATTCTAATTCTTTGAATGATTTTTACATGATTCATTTTCATTTAAATTAAGGATGCACCTTATGGCCTCTTTTTGTAAATGTAAAATTTCATTTAAGTTAGATTTATTTGTTCCACCATAAATTTCAATGCCATAAGCAATATGGGAGTGTATATTTGAATAATAAACCACACACAAAATTTCTTTACTGCAAAGGGGAAATAGTCGTCTTAAAGTAAAAATACCGGAGCTAATTTTATTACATATTTTATCGACATGTGAGGTCCACTTTAGTGTACTGTCCAAGGTTAGACCTAAAAATTTGGTTTCACATGCAAAATTTTCAAATATCTTTTCGCCAGACTTTTTACACTCAAATTTGATGAAGGTTGTTTTGTTTTTATTAAGTAAAAGGTTTTTTTCATTTAAATAATCTCCAATTATTTTGAGCGAATCTGTCATTTTTATTTCAAGAAGTTCAATATTCTTTTCATGCATAGACATACTTATGTCATCTGCATACAAGCAGAGGGCATTGTTTTCTACCCGTTCAGATAAATGTTCTGGCATCCCTCCCAAGTAGCACAGGAACAGGAACGGACCCAACACAGATCCCTGAGGAACAGAATACTTAACTTCCCTAACATTAGATCTAACATTGTACATCTTATTTCCATCTAAATACCCAATGTTAACAAACTGTTGGAGGCCCTCTAAATAAGATTTTATCCAGTTCACTTCTTTACCACTAATTCCATATGCTCTGAGTTTTTGCAGTAACTTTAAATGATTCACACTATCAAAAGCCTTAGACATATCTAAAAAGGCGCCAACAACATAATTGTCCTCATCCAACTTATGTAATACATTTTCAATATAAGAAATTAGAGCTGTAGTAGTAGATTTATTTTTTCTATATCCATGCTGTTCTTGATCTAATAAGTGGTTGTTTTCAAAATAATCTACTAGTTGAAAAAGTAAACTTTTTTCAAATATCTTTGATAGAGCAGGTTGAATTGCCAATGGTCTATAGTTTTGCGGATCTTTTTTATTACCTTTTTTATATACTGGAATTATTTTTGATATTTTTAGTTGAGCGGGGAAAACACCTGTTATTAGTGATGTATTAATCACATGTAAAAGTGGCTTCAACAAAACAGATTTTAATTCTTTAATAATTTTGATTGGAATTTCATCATAACCGGATGACCATTTAGGTTTTATTGAATCAATTATGGATGTCAAAATTGATTCATCGATGGTTTGACACCTAAATTTTATGTTTAAAATACTTTTATCAGAATTTTGTTGGGTTTTCTTTAATTTTGGTAAAACATTTTTGTCAACCATCTCAGCAAAATAATCATTTAAGATGTTTGCGGCAGCATATGGTTCTTCTATTTTTTTGCCGTTATGTTTCAGTGAAATATTACTATGACATCTTTCTTTTTTACTTTTTGTTTCAGAGTTCACAATTTTCCAAACAGTTTTGTTAACATTGGTAGAATTTCTAATTTTATTGTCAAAATGGTTTTTTTCTTAAGTTCTATCATTTTTTTGTATCTCTTCTTGTGTTCCTTAATATAATTCTTCAATGCTATGTTACTTCTATCATCTCTATACAAGTCATGTTCTGCAATTATTACATGATGCTCATTGATAATTTCATCATCAATCCATCCATTATTTACATTACTGGAAACTATTTTTGTTTAAGGGAAATGTAAATCGAAGTAATATTTTACAATGTTATAGAAATAACTAAATTTGTCTC